ATGCATTTAGGGGAGGACAGGGTCCTGTGGTACTCTCCAGGGAGCCTCCGACCAAAAAATGGCCCAAAACCATTAGGCTGAAGCGTGTCTGACTGCAGTTTTGAAGCCCAGCATGGGCCCTTCCTGTCTCACAGCTTCTCCAGAGTTCTCCTCAGCCCTCCTGCCTTTGCCTGTGACGGGGCTGCTCCCTGCAGGGCCCTTTCTCTCTCGCCTTCCCTAGTGAGATGGACCCTTTAAGGTCCATCTCTGTTCCAACTACCCCAGTGAAACCTCTTTTGATCCCTCCTGTCAAACACACTTTACCTTCGGGGATCATGGATTCATTCATCCAGTCACCAAATATTCACCACGCACCTCTAGAGTGCCTGGCTGGACACCGGGCAGGACACGGAAGGGACTCAGCCCCAGGCCTTGCCCTTTAGGAGCTCTGGGGTCTGGTCTAGTGGGGAGATGGATGTGTAAAGAGACACGTGGCAGCTTAAAGCAAGAGGGCTGGCCAAAAGTATGGATGGCGCTGTGGGGGAGCCGAGGGTAACAAGGACAGGCTCACAGGGCAGCGGCAGCCTGGCAAAGAGTCAGAGAAGGGCACAGAAAGCAAAGGGGGAGGCCCACTTGGGGAACATAAGTTTTCCACATTCCCATCATTACACTTATCTCACCAACACTGGGGACAGACCCCTTTCTTGGCTACTGCCTGAGCTCCTCAAGGACAAAGACCTGCCACTTTCAGCTCTGCTGGGTGAAGATGGGCTGTGGGCTGGATGAAGGGATGAATGCACATGCCCCAGGCTTGGTGGCCAGGACTCAGGCCACTCGGCATGTCTAAAGTTTCCTGACAGGCAGTCTTACAGCCCAGTCCCAGTCCAGAGTCAGTCCCCTTTAGGGAGGCAAAGATGACATGGCCCCTGTGCTTTGGTCATCTTTCCCAGATGCCTGGGAAGTATGGCCCTGTTTCTGCTGAGATAACAGTGAAAGGCTGGCCAGTTTCATCAAATATCATGCATTACAAGAAAATGTCAGCAGTAGATGATTAATCTGTACCAGGAACAGAAGTAGTGATGCTATCATAATGTACACAGCAAAGCTACAGTGACTTTTAAGGGCTCACTCTGGAAGCGCCAGGGCCCTGAACCATGTCAGGCAGGGAGGGCCCAGGATAGCCTGGGAGCGCGGAGCCCTGGCCAGCTCGCCAAACTGCAAAGTGGGCCCTGATGTAAGAAAAGTGAGAGGAGGTTTCCAGAGCCAGAATGCCAGGGTTTGAGTAACTCTGCGGCTGACCAGCTGTGTGACCTTAGGCAAGTTACTTAAAATCTCCGAGCCTGTGTGACCTCATCTGTAAGAGGGAGTCGATAATCAGCCCAGACCTCCTGGGACTACTGTGAGAATGAAATGAGTTAATACTTAGACCAGTGCCTAGCAGGCAGTAGTCACTAATTAATGAACCGTAGATACTACTGCTGTTGCCATCTGTGTCAGCCAGGGGCAATCTCTCCACCCAGAAGGGCAGCTGTGGAACTCACGGGCCTTAGGAATAAAAGCCAAGGATTCAGAAGATTCTAATTCCACCCCCATCCTGATACTATTCCTGACAGCAGCAATGGCAGCAAAAGAACAAAAGGACCCCTTCACCAGGAGCCTGAGGCTGGGGGTGGGACCTCGCCATCTACTCCAATATGCTTGGAGTACTTTGGGGACAGCCCAAAGCCCTCCAGGAAATGGAGGAGGAGGAGACATTTAAAAGGCAGAACCTCAGCCCCGTTATATAGCAAGCCTTCTCTCCATCAACTGCAGGGTATTCTCGCCAGTGCCCTGAACCCTCATCCAAGGCCTTGGCCCCCTCCCCACCCCTCAGCCCCGGCCCCACCCCACAGCAGCCCTCGCTCCCAGGTCACACCCTCCGCCTTGGCATTACCATTTTTGCAACTCTCCACAACCTCAACTCCTGCACCCTACTCTCCACCTTCCTTCCACCTCCCACTGCCCAGCTCACCCCCTCTGCTGCCCTGGATGCAACAGTCTTCCACCACTCTGGGACATACCGTCAAGCTGAATAAATATGTCACATTCATTCATCCCACCCTGGTGACCAAGAGAGACATAGCTCCTGCCTTCATGGGGTTTGTGGCCTATCAGGAAGGCAGGCTCCCCAGTGCAGGGATAGTGTGCTACAGGGATGTACAGCAGAAGCTCCTCCTCTAGCCTGAAAGTCAGGGAAGGGCAAGTAGAAATGAGGCAGGCAAAGAGAGGGAGAGTTTTCTAGGACAAGGTAAGAGACTGGGCAAAGGTCAGGAGCAGAAGGTGGCCAGAGCTGAATGACAAGAGAGACAGAGGCTCCATCACAGGGTCCTTTCTAAGCCACATTAAGCACTTGATATGTTAAGGAAACAGGAAGCCCTTGAAGAGTTTAGCAGGGAATGACTTGTTCAGATGTGCCCTCTGGAAAGATCACTCCGAGAGCAGCTTGGAAGAGGATGGGAGGAGAGCAAGACTGCAGGCAGAGCGACAGTCTGGAAGGCTTGGTGCCGCAGGAGTCCATGTGCGCAGTGGCCGGTCCTGGCCTGGAAGAATGCCAGCAACAGGATGGAGAGTGCTAGAACCTCTGGCTTTACACTGGCACGTAGCTGTCTGCACCACACGCTATACCTCCCAGCCTCTCCTGCAGTTAGCTGTGGCCATGTGACTAAGTTCTGGGCAATGGGATTTAGGTGGAAGGTGTGCGTGCAACTTCTGAGAAGTGACCCATAAGAGGGAAAGTGCCCTTCTTCACCCCATCCTTCTGCTTCCCTGCTGGCTGGAAAGGTGGATGCAATGGCTGGATCTGGTGTGGCCATTTGGGACCATGTGGTGACCTAGAGAATGGAGGCCTCATCTGCTGTGGCTGTCACTTGGGAGAGAACTGAAATTCTATCCCATTTAGCCACTATTATGTTAGGCTTGCTGTCACTCAAGCCAAACCTAAGCATAACCGACTGAGCAGCAGCAGCGGACTAAAGACACATGCGAGAAGGACCTGCCAGAACTCAGAAATGACCTGGGTCTGGGGGTGAGGGAGCCTGAGGACTGAAGGATCACTCTTGGGCTTCTGGATTGTGCAACCATGTAGACAGATGGTGATGCCATTTACCGAAATAAATGCTTGGGTGGGAGCAGGTTAAGAAGAAGGTGAAAAAGACTCCTGAGCTAAGATAGGCATGTCGGGAATTCTGAGAGGAGATAATGTGCTTGGCTTGAACCCCCCCCCCCCCAATGCTCCTTATTCTGTCCAAATACATGGAAGCAGCACAAAAAGAGAAACGGCTTAGGAACCAGAAGACAGATTCTGTTGCTTCACTGCTTCCTGTGCAACCTAGGATGAATCACTTAGCATCCTGAGCCTCAGTTTCCTCATCCATAAAATGGGACACTGCCTTCCTTGCCTACCTCAGTGGGTTGGTGACAGATGTGCTAATGTAACATGTGAAAACATTCTATAAAGTACCACCCTACTAATGGTAGGAATGGCACAGGTGTAGTTAATAAACTGCTGGCAAAGAGGCTCAGGCTTACTGACATAAATCTGGAATCCTGTCTAGGGATATTTACAACTGAGAGGACTTGTTAATTATTTGCAGGTGTAGGGTAGTAGAGTCAGGATGTCAGGGCACAGCATCTCAAAAGTAGAGCAGAGTGGCCCTCCAAGGAGTAGACCCACTGCCCTGGTCAGCTGTGCCTTCCCAACAGCCTTGGCTCAGGTCTGCAAAGGGGTTCTGGAGCTGCAGATTCAAGCCTGCCCCATCCAGGGCAAGTCCTGACCAAGGCCAGCCAGAAGGAGGCAGCTCATGCCCATCTGCACTAGAGTTTTGACTGTCCCTGCTGTGTCAAAATTGGTGGAACTGGGGTCTCAATTCTGACCTGACTGGCTGAGGCCCTGATACCTGCCTTGCTCTTCTCCTGGTGTCTAGTCCCTGGCTCCCAGCTTGCCATCTGCTGAGACTCCTGCTGACACACCTCCTCAATCTGAATGACCCCCAGCTGCTCCCTCCAGCCTCACTTTTCACCAAAGCCCTGGATGCACCTGGGATCCGGCCAGCGCCCTCTGCCTGCAGGTTCACACCTCCATGCCTCTCCACTTTATTCTACTGAACAGACTCTTCCTCATTCTTCCAGCCACAGAGGAGCTCTCAAGGCCTCGGCCAGCCCACCAGGAAGTGGCCACTCCTTGTGTCCCGTGTTCCCTGGCTGTCCCTCAGTCAGAGCACTCCTCACATGGTGTTACACCTGTTTGCATGTGACCACCACCAGACTGCATGTTCCTTAAAGACACAGACCACATTTGTCATCTCACAGGGCCAGCTGGGCCTGTCCCAGGGCCTGGGACTCTGGAGACACTGGAGGTGCTCAGTGCATGCTGAATGGATGGATGACAGGACAGCCAGATGGAAGAATGAACAGAAAAGGGACATCAGTACAAGCCCAACTCGACGCCATTCTGCCAAGCCCCACTGGCTCCTGCCTTTGGATCCTGGCTACTGCTTTCCCCTTTCCCCAACCAGCCCTGCAGCTGGCCAGGGTTTGTTCAGAGGGCCTGTCAGGGCTGGACAGAGCTGTCACTTCTTAGACCATGCTGGGACACCCTTGGGCTAGAAGAGAAGGGTAAGAAGCCAGGACAGGGCTGAGGGAACCAGGGCTAAAGCTTACTCCAGTGGGCCTCACCTCTGTGGCCCTTCTCAGCTTCCCTGACCTTCTTCCTTCCCTTGCTCTGCATGGGTCAAGCCTCCAGGCAGGAAGCAACCCAGTCTTCCATCCCCAGTCCCCTTCTGTTGGGACCTTGATGGGCCAGAAAGTGTGCAATCTAGGAAACCCTTCCCTCCACTCCAAGAGCACAGTATCTCCTCTCTCCCACCCCTCTCCAGCCCCCTCAGCTGGAGACCGAAAGAAGCTGCTTCTAGGCCAAGGGACATCCAGTCTGAAACCTGAGAGGAGTCAAGGGAGAGCGTGTGTCCCAGCTGCCCAGCACCCACCGGAATCCACTCTGTGAGTTCCCGGGATTAACCAGGATGCAGTCCCAGGTGCGACTGGGAGTGTTCTGGAACAGAATCAGCTGCCCTTCCTCCCGAGCCCGGTCACTCAAGCTGTAGTCGGCCAGAGCCACCTCCTTCACCCGGAAAGGGTTAGAGAACAAGGTGGTGACACTACTGAGGGTATTGACCAGGCGGCCGAAGAACTGCATCTTCTGTGGGGTGGGTGGGGAGGCCCCACCGCCTTCCCCCTCGGTCTGGAAGAAAACGGGGTCTCTGGTCAGCTGGGCTCGTTCTCCCATGCCCACCTCACCAAGTGCAGTGGTTTCCTGCACAGGCACCCAGATGGCTCCCCACCAGTGCTGTCCCCTAATTCTGGGCCTGGAGGGACCTGAAATGGAGAGGAAAGAAAGAGAAACACAGTGAGTGGGAGGTAAGAAGGCCTGAGGGGAGTTACACAGCCCTCGGGCCAGGCTGGAGACCTAGAAGGCTGCCTTCCTGTGCTGCCATTGTGCACAGGCAACTTTAAATGCCCAAGTCCCTGACCCAGCGTCCCCAACAGAGACTCAGTTTCCTCATCTGTATCATGGAATTGTATTGATCAAAGGAGACAGAGACGTGAATGCACATTCTAGGCAGCAATGCCCTGGGCAAAGAGAAGGGTTCTCACTCCTTAAGTTAGAGGGACAATTTTTGGCACTCAAATTGCTCAGCATAGGTCATTTTAATTCCACAAGCAAAAGCAGTGTCCCCTCTCTACCAGACACCAAAAGGGGACAGGATCATATCATACTCCATCAGGGGAAAAGGGACAGTGAGCATTTGTCTAAGTCCTTTGATGCCTGCTACCACTGCTTTCCCAGAGAGCTCTGAGACAGAGAACACAAAAATGAGCTGCTGAGAAATGAATGTGAATGTAGACACTTACAGTGAGCATGTGTTTGGGTGGTAATTTTACAACGCATGTTCACAGAGTCATGGTGGATAATGCAATTAGATATCTTGTTATTTCCTAGGTTCCAGAAGACACACTACCTTCCTAAGGTACTGCCACCAAAGCCAGGTGACAATAAGCAGAAGGCTGTCCTCTGACTCTGTGCCAGCACATCACCTGCCAAAAGAGTGCGTCAGACACTGAGGACAGCGTGGGAGTGCGGGCACCCTGGGGGAGAGTGGACTAGTATCTGAGGGATGCTAGTCCACAGCCTTTTCTGCCCTGGCCTATGTGCTGAGGAGAGAATCAACCTTGCGGACAGAAGGAAGACAAAAACAGGAGGTCTCCAAAGAGTCATCTAAAATGGGAGTAAGGGTCGATGTTAATAATTACACCAGGAGACAATTACTGAACACTTACTGTGCAGTAGGCCCTGAGCTAAGCACTTTATGTGACAGTCTCATTTAATTCTCACAAAACCACGAAGGAGGTGCACTGAGAGCTTGGTGCTGATCTGGAACCAGACCGCATTCAAATCCTGGCCCCACCACTGACCAGCTGTGTGACCTTGAGCAAGTTCCCCAACCTCTCTCAGGTGCACTGAGAGCTTGGTGCTGATCTGGAACCAGACCGCGTTCAAATCCTGGCCCCACCACTGACCAGCTGTGTGACCTTGAGCAAGTTCCCCAACCTCTCTATGCCTCAGTTCCCTCATCTGTAACATGGGAACCATAACAATGCCTAATAGCAGCACCCAGCAGACAGTAAATGTTCAATAAACGTTAGCTCCTTTTCACAGATAAGGAAACTGAGGCTTAGAGAACAATGACGGCAAAGCTCTGAAAAGATTCTGAAGTTTTGTAATGTCCTTCCTTTTATGATCAGTAGTAAGATATAGTGTGAGAAGATCGTGATCCTCAGTTTTTCCCTACTTTAAAACGGGGACATGGGCCGGCCCGTGGCTCACTCGGGAGAGTGCGGTGCTGAGGGCACCAAGGCCCCGGGTTCGGATCCCATATAGGGATGGCCGGTTCGCTCACTGGCTGAGCGTGGTGCTGACAACACCAAGTCAAGGGTTAAGATCCCCTTACCGGTCATCTTTTAAAAAAAACAAAAAAACAAAAAAAAACGGGGACAGTACTCACTGAACATTTCAGAGAATACCTAGGCTTGAGCCAAGTTTCCTTCCTCCTTCTGCACTTGGGGGCTATGTGAACAGAGGAACTGGGGTGCCCATGCCCCTCTCCAAATTAGGGGAGAGGGGAAGACCCCAGGGGAAGGCATAGGAATCAGTCCCAGGAAAAGAACCCCCAAACGGGAGGCATAGCACACACATCAATGCGCACTGCAACCATCTTCCTTACGATGCAGAAATGGAAGCAACTTTGACATCCAACATTAGGAAAATGGTAAACTACAATATGTTTACCCGAGAGTCCATGTGGCCATTAAAAGTTGTGATTGTGGGGCCGGCCCGGTGGCACACTGGAGAGTGCGCCGCTTGGGAGCGTGCCGCTTGGGAGTGTGACGGTGCTCCCGCCGAGGGTTTGGATCCCATGTGGAGACTGGTTCCCGCTCACTGGCTGAGCGTTGACATCCAACATTAGGAAAATGGTAAACTACAATATGTTTACCCGAGAGTCCATGTGGCCATTAAAAGTTGTGATTGTGGGGCCGGCCCGGTGGCACACTGGAGAGTGCGCCGCTTGGGAGCGTGCCGCTTGGGAGTGTGACGGTGCTCCCGCCGAGGGTTTGGATCCCATGTGGAGACCGGTTCCCGCTCACTGGCTGAGCGCGGTGCGGGCGCAACACCGAGGGTTGCGATCCCGTTACCGGTCAGTAAAAAAAAGACAAAAAGGAAAAAAAAAAAAAAGAAAGATTCTCACCCCCAGAGGACAGACCCCGTCCTCAGTGTCCCAGCCTGTGCCCCCAGCACTGGGTCTAGGGGGGCTCCCATGGACTCACAGCAGCATGGCCACTGAAGGGACAGACCTGGCTCTCCTCCAGCCTTCCAGGGTTGGCCTGAGGGTGGAATGACGCAACGCAGGGAAGGTGTCCAGGATGCAGGCCCACTGCGGGTACACAAACAGTGGCCATTGTTATCACTACGTGGAAGAAAGGAAATTAAAACCACCAGGCCACATCCTGGAACAATCACAGCATCGCCAACCAGGAAGGTGGGGAGTGAGCAGAAAGCGCTTGCACCACGTTTCTCATTTTTGTTGTCCCCCTCCCATCCCCACCACTGGCCTCAGAACCCTGTTTCTTCCCAGCCCCGCAGCAGGAGGGGGCATGCTGGATGGGGGGAGGGCTGCCCCCACCTCCACAGCTCCCCATCACTCCTCACAGCCTCCTACCCTCTGACCTGCCCAGGGTGAAAACATATGCTTTTACCTACTGACAACTGTCCCCTTCTGCTCCTCACCTGGGCTTGCTCCCTGCTTGCAATTGGCATGCTCATGATGCCAGGGTCATGTGACACAGACCATACACTTCTGGGCACACAAGGCTGCGTCAAGCAGGTCTCAAAAGTCACAAGCAGAAAGACACAAACCCAAGATCTTTTGTGGTGATGGTGACAATGATACTTCTTGTCTGTTCCAGGCAATTTCCAGGTGCCAATTTTGTCTCCCCTAGAGTGAGACTAGATATTTTTGGCCTTTTTCCTTATCTCTGTTCCCATCTCCTGTCAAAGGCCCAGCTGGCCTGCTTAGTTCCTCCAGGGAAGACTCACGAGTGGCTGCTGGGCATGATCTCCCCCAGGAGCTGCCAGGCAGGAAGAACAAATATTATTAGACGCCCCCCTTTTTTCAGCGGCTGGCCAGTAAGGGGGTCCGAACCCTGGAACCTGGTGTTATCAACACTGAGCTCTAACCAACTGCGCCCACCAGCCAGCCCAGCCCCATTTTAAAGATAAAGAAATGAGGCCCGGAGAGGCCTCAAATTGTGGGTGTTCAAAGTGCAAATTACAGTGGGACATGTTGATGTCTACCAAAAATGAAAAACAAACAAAAACCCCTCACTGGGATCAGAGGGAGGGAGATTGAAATCAACAGGTAGAATCTTTGATGAGTTCCCTAGAAGTGGCTAGTCGGGTTCATAAGATGAGTGACCACAACAGGAACAGTGTCTGTCTCGAAGCATGCACAGTGCCTTGGGGGAAGGGTTGCTGGAGGAGATGATTCTTGAGCTGAACTGTGATAGAAAAGCATGAGTTCACCAAGGGAGGGAAAGGAGCGAGAACTTCCCAGAAGATGGAGCTGACAAGAACACAGGGGAAGGCAGAGGACAGGGGCCTGCATAACTATCTGGGAACAACGCACATTTTCATCTGGACTGGGCCACTGGAGAGGGGCAGATGTCCACCACGGAGGGGGCCGTGGTTACTACTGTGACTAATATGAGCACCAGTCCCCTGGAGCCATTGGTCCAGCCACCCGGTAAGGCAAGCTCGAGAGAAACGGCAGTGGAGGAGAGGAGCAGTGGGTCGGTTACAGCGAGTGGCCAGGAAGAACTCCTTTCAAAGGAGTTTCAAAGGTCTGGTTCCTCCTCAGCCATGAATTCCCTGAAGGACCCTGGGCAGGTCTCGGGCAAGAGAGACCTGTCTGTGCCCTCTGGAGGTTGCTCATCTGCCAAATCTGCTAGGCCAGGCCCTGGACCCCGTCCTCTCTCTTCCCCTTTGGCCAGTTTTGTGTGAAAACTGCTCTTCCAGAGTGAAAGGGACCTGTGTTTTCGCTCTCCTTGGCCTGTCCTATCTGGAATGCCCTCCCCCGACTCCCTGTTCCTGCCGGACCCTCTGCTCGTCCTTCAAGGCCCAGCTGCCCCTCTGAACGCACAAAGCACCAGCGCTGCCCCTCCCAGGACCCTCCCTCTTGGCCTGCACCTGCGACATTTCTGCATGCATGCACACGCCCTCTGGGCCACCACAGGACACAGATCACACCACAGCATCTCCCTGCTTTCCCTGTCCAGCAGCTCCTCAGCTCCTTCCAGCGTGGGCATGCAAGCGTCCATGTGAGCTGGCCAGGCCGCCCCTCCAGCCACCTCCTCACCCCTGCTCCAGCCAAGCTGCACCATTGAGACCTCCTGGAACACATCACATTCATGTCATACTCGTGCCTCAGTGTACCTCAGCCTAGACTGTCCTCCCCACTTTCTTGTTGTTGTTGTTTTGGCAGCTGGCCAGAAAAGGGATCCGAACCCATGACCCTGGTGTTACCAGCACCGTGCTCTCCCAAGCGAGCTAACCGGCCAGCATACCCCTCTTTCTTAACCTGTCTCAGAGTATGCTCTCAATTAAAGATGTCTAAACAAATGAATAAATCCCTTTTCATCCTACAAGACTCAATTCAGGTGCTACCTCATCCAAAAATCACACCC